TAAAAATTAATAGCGAAAACACCAAAAGAGCTAAGCAAGAGTGCTTAATGGAGCTAGGCAGATAGAAATATGGTTTATATGCAAAAATTTTCTCTGAAACAATAACACCTTCCTGCTATTGAATTGCGGCAAACATCATTAGCCTTTCAATAGTGAAATTCGCCATAAACATCAGCAACAGAATCGAATACATTGAAAACGCCCTACAGATATAATTAATTATATATATATATTAAATTTCCAACACGGTGCCCGGTAAATGAGTAGATTCAGCAACAATCAATTAATTATTGTTGCATTAAAATGGCAACAAAATGGTGTTGAACCGATCGAAGTCATTACGCTAAATGCTTTCCATTTTGGCCTTAAAATTCAAAACCATTTAAAGGGGATAAACTAATTAAGGCCTTTCCTTTATTTATGTTGAGGGGACGTAACTTTTACGTACGTGGCTTTGGGTTTATTATTTTAGGCACATTTGGAGATGAACTGGGGCAAGCACTCGCTAGTAAAATAAAATACTTAAATCAATCCGCTACCGGCCTCTTAAGCGCGTTGAAGCAACTCCGGACATTTTTTAAATTAATTATTGCGAAAAATAAATTTCCTATTAAAGGGCTGCGGAAAATGGCACGATTTCGCTGTAACTACGTTGTTATATAATGCATAGATAAAGGCGCAGCACGTGCCGAGCAATCTTATTAAGTTCCTTTAAACATTCCCTTGCAGAATTTCATTAGAACAATAATGCAATTTTATTTACAACTAGTAGCTTTATGAATCATTTAGCAGTTTTGAGAAATTGGCAATTTTAACATTCTTGTTCGGTTTTCGGAACGTTATTTTGCGGTTAGCCATGCTTACCTTAAGACCAAGCGGGCTGGCAGTTAATGGATAATCCTTTAAAGATGTTTGTCAAAGATCAGAGTGGATGAACGCGCCTTTTATTGGCCATTGAGCTTGAAAACGTGACAAACTCGTGTTTTGTTGCTTCATAATACCCGCCTAAAGGCTTTTAGAGATTTTTTATATTTTCAAGCTTTGATTTGCTTCGGTGTGTGTTGAAACTGATCTGGGAGGTTCGAATTGAGAACCACTTCGTACTGTATTTAGATTCTATTGCAGTTGAAAAATCATGAAAATAGTCTGGTAATGGATCTTCTTTAAAAATCTGCATCTTCCCACCTAGAGCTAGCAGCAACCTAAAATTTTTAGCATTTTTAGAAGACACTTAGCTCTAAAAATACTGAGAGCTGCATGCAAATGACTGAGAATCCTGATTTTTGCGCGCAGTAAATGTCGGTCTCATCATGGATGGTTCCACTCACATGCGCCCCGTCCTTAAAAATTCGCACCTCCAAACTCTTTGCTCGTAGCAAGTTGAAATTTTCGGCATCTCTAGCAAGAACTTCAGCCACGTGATTGTAAAAGTTTGATAAAAATGGCCCAAATTTCTGACGTTTCCCAGCTTGATGAAGGCAGTCGCAAAATGGATGTTGTTACTCAAATGTGGCCTCATTGAAACATTCATATCTTCGGCGCGAAAGCAAGCAGCAAACTCAAAATTTCACTCAAAGTTCTACAGATATGGACGGTTTGATTAAAACGGCACGCAATTATGATTTTCGCCAGCCAAGTAAAAATCGGTTTCAAAATAGATTTACTCAAGTGCTTAGTTAGACAAGTCGCACTTTTAAATTTTCCAGTATCTTCTAGGAAGATACTCAGGATTTTTAGCAGCTCGTTCACTATAGATTTCAACGGTTTTTTTATGGGAGATTTTTCATAAAATTCTCGCTCCTTTAAAAATTCGCATTTTTTGATCTAAACCAGGAAGGAATCTGGAACTTTCAAAAGTTGTACGGAACAGATGGCTCAAACTATTGGCGACGCTTTTATAGAAATGCGCTTGAATTCTGCGTTTTATCAGCTTAGTAAATATTGAGCTCGAAACCGACCATTTAACTCAAGTGCTTCACTTTAAAAAATCCACTCCTTTTTAAAATTCTAATCTTCCAATGTAACTCGCCTAGCGACTTTAAAAACGTCCCACTATTAGCAGATAGTTCGTTGAAAAGATTCTAAAAGTCTCATCAAAATCACACAAAGTCCTGATTTTTTCCAACTTACTAGAAATCGGTCTCAAAGTTTTTACCAAACAGCACTGTCACATTTAAAAATTCGTATCTTCCGCAAAAACGCCAATTTGAACTTGAAATTTTTAGAATATTTAGACAATACTTGGCTCTAAACACGCTCAAAGTTTTATCAGAAAATTCCGGAATCCTGATTTTTGTTAGCTAATTATCCAGTCTCAAAATGAA